TTTCCCTCCACCCCATTAAAAGCTGGGATGTAAGTGGGAGAGGGCCCACCTCTCTCCCTGTGGGTGCTCCCCCCACCCCACCCCACCCCTGCTTCTTTTTCTTCTAGTAAACATTGCTATACTTTTGCTAAGCCTAGTGTCTTGCCTGAAATCCTCTCGTGTGAAGACACTGTTAAGGTATGACTCCAAAATCCCAAATAAAACTCTAGGTCTTTTTGAAGTAAAGAAAAGGATTTCTTCTGGCCAGGGCCAAGAGAGCAGACAATAGGTGTGCTTCTGCCACCCTACATGTGCATTAAGCCATCTACAGGGAGCGAGGGTTGCTAACTGCCGAGGGAAATTCTATTAAAAATAAAAAGGAAACATTGGCTCTACTTGAGGCAATTTGATTACCTAAGCAGGAGGCTGTCGTCGCTACCCAGGTCACCAAAAAGGAGACTCTCTGGTCATCAAGGGCAATAATTTTGCCAATGAGACAGCTCAACAAGAGGCCCTGGACTCCAAACCAGAACCAGTCACCATGTTACCTTTGGCCTTGTATCCCCAAACCAGCCTTCCTTCCCTCCCACATTATCTGCCAGAAGAAAAAGAGAAGGTTAAAGAAAAGGGGGAACAAAATCAGAAGCTGGTGGGTCCTCCTGACTCCAGACCATGGTACCCTGAGCTTTGGGAAGAACATTAATATTGGATTTATGTGCAACAACTCCTTGGGGGAAGAATCAACTGGCTGAATTTCTAAGACATATTGTATCCCAGGGCTAAAACAACGTCCCAGGACATCTCTGGGCAGTGTCCAGCCTGCCAACAGGTAAATGCCCAACAAGAAAGGTGGACCCATTCTGGGGTCCGCAATCGAGGAGACCACTGGGAGATCACTGGGAGATTGGCTTCACCGAGGTAAGACCTCCCTCCAGTAGTTATACGTTTCTCTTTATTTTTGTGGATATTTTCTCAGGTTGGCCAGAAGTGTATCCAACAAAATTTCTTCTTAATAAAGTCCCACCAGGCTGTGAACTGCCTGTCACCAGAAGGTCAGCTGTCAGGCCGGCATTCACTGCAGCGACTGGAAATTTCATTGCGCTGACCAGCCTCAAAGTTCTGCACAGGTTGAGCACGTGAACCAGACCCTCGAGTACCCTCAGTAGATTTACATTAGAGACAGTGCTGGGTGGCCAGTGCCTTTGCCTGTTGCTCTTTTGCGTGCCCGATGCACCCCTTAATCTTTGAGATTATATATGGGAGACCAACCCTTCTACTTCCCTGGGTTTCTGATATTCATTTGGCTAAAATCAGCCACCAGTCTCTTGTTAACTACCTTAAGTCTCTCTAACAGATACAAGAAAAGGCTTATAGACTCTTCCTTCAGGAGAACCAACCCAGAAAGTCCACTGGTTTCCAACACCCATTTCAGCCAGGAGGCAACGGCCCCACCTGCTTGAGACACCTGAAGGCTTTACAGTCAGTCTGCTTGATTTGCCCCTAGGCTTCACATCCAACCCAAAATGGAGAGAGTAAATAAGGTACCTCTACACATGAAGCTTCATGCGTCTCTTCATGGCTGGGCTCCAATTGGTCACCACCGGGAATCCAAACCCAACAAAATAGCGCTCCCTTAAAGCCTGTGTCAAGGTGATTAGTTCTGCTCACTGTGCCGAGTTTCCCCTCAAGAGTGCTTGAGCCCAAATGACTTCGGTTTCTGTTGTGACCGAGGCTCCAGCCTTCCAAGCCCCTTCTATGATTTGGCAGCTGCCATTGGATGGCTTTCAGCCTCAGTCAAAGGAACATGGTCAAGTTGGCCTTCCTGAGCTCACCTGGTCAAGCATAGCCTTGTAGTCGTGGAGGGGCTCAAGTGGGTTGTCTTCTAGTATCAGCCAGGTGGGGTTAAGGGCCCTTGTGGGGGCAAAGGTGAGTTGAGGGTGGTAGTGCAACAAACTCTGATATTGAATAATACGACTATTAGTCATCCATCTACCTAGTGCACCGTTTAGGAGGGTCTCTACAAAGTGTGGTCGCCACTCTGAGGGATTGTCCCAAAGTTAACTTATTGGCCTCTCTGACCATAAGGGCAGTGGCCATTATGATACATAAGCAGGAAGCCCATCTGGATGCTACCAGGTCCAATCTTTTAGATAGATAGGCTATTGTCCTTTTTCAGGGTCAAAGATCTTGTGTGAGAGGCCCTTTGGCAACCCTTGGACTTTTTGCCACAAGCAGGTTGAAGGACTCAATAGCAGCGGGCAGAGTCAGAGCAAGGACCTTGACCAGGGCTTGGTGGCTTCGAAGGCCTGCGGTTCCTTCTTAGTCCATTTTAAAGGGCTAGTTCCTGTGGTGGCTTAAACAAAGACCTTGCTAGTTCTGTAAAGGAGACAATCCAAAGCCTGCAGTAACTGCCATTCCTAGAAGTTCACAGATTTGTTTCTCTGTAATAGGGCTATGGAGAGAAAAAAATCAGATTTATAGTTCACGTATTTTCTGGTCCCTCTGAGTCAAAGTGGGAAAATGTCCTGAAAGCATCTTGCAGCTTTTCAAGGAATAAGCTTCGAGCTTTGTTGGGGCCTTGGAGTACCTCAGTAGTTCTAGACAATTTAATGGGCTTTTTAGTAGCCCCTTTTAGTCCCCCTAACAAATGCCGGTGATAGGCGTCCAAATGAACATTCTTTGCCCCAGAGTTAGGGTCCTAATCAGGACGGATGTCAGGAAGGGCCTCCTCTAACAATTGTTGTCCCTTGGCTTTGGTGCAACTGGCCACTGAAAGGATGGCTCTCTTGGCCTCCACCCTGAGGCAGTCCTGCTCATCAAAAGTGACAAGAGCCAGCAAGAGCTGCTGGCAGTCGTCGCAAGCAGACCTGTGCATGCAGAAAGTGGCATCGAGGAGAGAAATGAGGGCCTGTGGGCGTGCAGAGAAGGGAGGATTTTGATTTTTCCAATTATATATCTGAAGTTGTCAAGGGGACATACACAAAGACAGTGGTTCCATCCCTTCCTGAGGGTAGCTGCCGGAGGAGCAACATGGGAAAAGTTGGGGTTGGGGGAGGAGTCGCACCCTGGAAATCAGCAGCAAGGGAGCCGAGAAGAGAGATGGGGAAGACACCACCACTTCCGTCAAGTGTTTATCTCCCCGTGAGGATGGGGGAAGTTATGTGCCCTTCTGGTGATGAAAGAACAGACCCAGGGGACCTTGGGGAAGACACAGATGAACGAGAAGGAATGTGGGGCCCATGAGGAGCATAGGGAGGTGGCAACATTCCATCCTCATCTGAAGGGGGAAGAAGAGAGGCAGAAGGGTGCCAAGAAGACTCTTAGTTCTTGTCTGTTACGACCCTGGAAACCTCCGATATCCTGAAGAGCCAGGACTTTGGCTGATCTAGGTGCATCCTTGAGGCATTTTTGTAAACATTTTGGAGGATTAAGAACCAAATCTAGTCATTGGTCTGTATATGGGAACTGGTCAGGATGGCCAGGCCTGCCAGTTACCACATTCCAGACCTTTTGGACTATGAGGGCTTCCAGAGAGCCCTCAGATGGCCATCCAACATTGAAAGAGGGCCGTTCTACCTCACACAGAATTTGGAGGTGCCCTGGTGTCACAGGCACCCCATAGTCAATGTGAAGCCCTGATGAGAAGTTTTTCAACATGTAGTTCAAAAGGGTCAAAAGACAAGACTGATTAGATCCCATGATAAGGCCAAAAGTTAGAACAACAGGCAGAAATGGGAAGAAACTGGTAGGCAAAAGTCAAATTAGATAGTTGGTGGATCCAGGGGCAGTGAGTTGGGAAAGAAGAAGGTTTTCTCGCTGGGGCAACAATGAAGGAGCAATGTTAGGTGGTCAGGCAAGCATGTAACTACAGTTATCCTCAGAAAACAGACTCTCCTCCATCCCAGTCCCAGATCGTCACCACAGTCTATGTAGCGGAGCACCTGGGTTCAAAACTGGCATCTCGACAGGTATCCAGTTTATTTGAGACACAAGGCCTCACAATCCACCCAGCTGAAACACCTCTAAGGCTTGACAGTCAATCTGGTTGATTCTCCTCTAGGTTGACATTCAACCCAAAATGGAGAGAACAAACGAGGTACCTCCAAACACACGCAGTTTTCTTAGTCTTCCTTCAAGGCCAGGCTTAAGTCAGTCACCACATAGGATCCAAACGGGACAAAACAGAGAGCTCCCACAACTAGAGGGGAAGGTGCCCCTTTCTGTGGGGTGGGGGGTCCCGATGGGCTGAGAGGCACAGCCTGGACCCCAGAGGATATCTCTCTGGGGCTTCCCAATATTTAGGCACTATTCCAAAATCCCAATCTTTTTGAAGTAAAGACAAAGGATTTATTCTAGCCAGAGCCTAGGGAGCAGAAAGCAGACAGTTCTGAAGCCTAAGACACTGAACGTGGGTTAGGAGGCCAACATTGGTAGGCAAAGAAGACTCTTAGTTCTTCTTAAAAACACAAAGAAGGGGGACAGGAGAGGCAAGTACAATTATAACACACATTTCATAAAGTGTCACCAAGTTCTCAGAATTGGCACCTCCCGTACCCACTCAGGAAGTAAGCTAGCACCAGCTCCATAGTGTCAGGGTGCAAGTGGGTGGGGGTGTCAGCTTCTATGCAAGTGGACTCTTATAGGAGGGGGAGCCAATTTTGCGCAGGGTGAGATGTCTGAGCAGAATAAGGTCAGCCTGACCTAACTTCCAAATTAGCCCATACAACATTAACAGCTGAGAATATGATGCAGACTCTGGGAAGATTATCTCAGGTATGAGTTGATCTCCATTATCAAAAGTGATATAAAGCAGGTCGAGTTAGCACACGCCTGTAATCCCAACAGTTTAAGAGGCTGAGGCAGGAGGATTGCAAGTTCAAAGCCAGCCTCAGCAATGTAGCAAGGCCCTGTCTCTAAATAAACTATAAAAAAGGGATGGGAATGTGGCTCAATGGTTAAACGCCCCTGGGTTCAATCCCTAGTACAAAAAAATAAAAATTAAATTAAAAAATAAATAAAGGGAAAGGAAAAATTAATTTGATTATAGTTTAGCCAAAACTGGGAAGACAGCTAAACTCCCTTCCCCCTTTCACAGAAACTTTATGATTAATAGAAACAAAAATCAGGAAATATGGCAGAGCCAGGTTAGGCCAGCCAGAGATCAGTTGTAATTCTGGTTTTATTGGCTCCTATCTGGGGCTTTTTGGTTTCCATCATCCACCTAAGGAAGCCAGCATTTCATGGTTGCCAGATTTCACTTTGGCCTCCTTAGTTTCTGTTTCCTGGGAAAATGAAACCTAGCTCCTTGGCCGCCCAAGCACTGGGCGTGCCCTGCAGCCAGTTGGGGGGGGCTTCATCAGTGTTGGGGCTGGACAAAGAACACATGCTCTAGATAAATACCGGGGTCCATTCCACACTCTGAGGACTTCCCTTCACCAGGTAAGGCAGGGAGGGTGGAAGGGACTGCCTCTTGCTGTGGCCCCCAACTTCAGGTGGGCAGTGCCCAGTGTGCACCCACTCTCCCACAGATCCTTTCTTTCATCCGGGTAGCTGTGATTGGAATAGAGGAAGGGGATCAGAGGGAGGGAAGAGAGAAGGGAAAACGAGGGAATGAAATTACCCAATTATGCTCTGTGCATGTATGAATATATCCCACGAATCCCACCATTATGTAGGTCACAGTATCAACTTAAAATGAGAAAAAAATAAGGCATCAGATTTTTTAAAAAGTTAGGTATTGGGAGAGAAGGGACTTGAGCCCCCACCTGCCCCTGACTTCTCTCAAGCCTCCAGGGTGGGTGGAGGTGAAGTGGGCTCAGGGGAGAGGTAAGTGTCTGGAGGGAAAGCATCAGTCACGATGTGCCTGTGAACTAGAAGTACCTGCCCCTGGCTGGCTCTTGCTTTGCCAAGGCCTGGGGCATATAGCATACCCTCTCTGGGCTGCACCCTGTTTTCCCATCCCTAAGATGGGGACAGAAGCCCAAGTTTCTCATGTTAGTGAGATCACAGAGCAGCAGGCACCCACAGTACCTTGGCTGCTGTTCATACCTTAACGGTGTGACTAGTTCTGATTTCCCAATTTTGGTGCTTTTAAAATTGCTCCATGGAGATTTAAAGGAATCCCAGAAGTGGCTAAGTGGGTGCTGGGCTTTTCTCGAGGAAGAAAACAGCTGCTGGAGGAAAGACAATACCCTGCGGCTCTCCCCTAGCCCCTACCATGGGTCTTTTGGTAACCTTGATGCCCACATTCCTCCTTCCCTCACCCAAGCCCCCTTCCAGGTCCACTGTCCCCACCAGCTCACAGCAGACCTCTCTACCCATCCCAGAGCCCCTCAGATTTTTCAGGACAGTAGGCTGGAAGCCAGTTCTGGGGGTTCCATTTCTCCACCAAAGTTCTACCCTTTGGTAGGTTTGGTCCAATAGAAGCTTTCTGCTCGGCAGCATGGCCCTTACGTCTGCAAGCATGCTGGCCTCCTCCCTGGCCACCCAGTTAACATCAGCAGTGACCATGGCTGAAGCTGGCGGGGCAGCCTGTGGCACCCTCCTGGCTGGCCTTTCGTCACAAGGTAAGTATTCTTGGAAGGGGCAGGTGCTGGGGGACGAGAGGACCGCTAAGGAGGATGCAGAGTCCTGCCCTTGAGTGTCCTTGTCCTCCCAGCACATCTATATGTCCCCCCTGACATCCTCTCAGAGAAGGGCCTGAGGGAGGCAAGACCCTGGCTGTAGGCCTAGGAGTCCAGTTCCCCAAGGGCTAGACCTAGGCGCTTCCTGCGTCTCCTTCTCTCTCCAGATGTGAGCCTCCTCATGTCCATGTCTATAGCTAGGGGTCGTGGGAATCTCTAGCTAGGTCCCCCTCCCTAAGTTTCCTTTGTCAAGGAGCCCCCTCTGGCGAGCCTTCCCTAGTAGTTTGTCCTACTGGATCTGATTTTGAGCATTGATCATAACAAACTTCTTCACTTCAGGCCCTCTTTCTTCGTGTGTGTGTGTGTGCGTGTGTGTTAGTGGAGATTGAATCTAGGGCTCCTCTTTGGTTTATTTATTTATTCCCATCATTTATGTTTCTTTTCAACTCCATTTACCTCCCCCAAAGTCAACCTTTCTCACATGTTTAATGTGTGCCTCCCTACCCATCTCAGCCTGTGTGTGTGTGTGTGTGTGTGAGTTTTCATGTTGCAGAAGAGACCTGCCCATGGAGCCAGAGTGGCCATTGTCTTGTGATTCCACAGGAAGAATTTGAAACCGGATGCACAAAGAACAGACAGCAGTGTATTAGAAATGTGCGGGATTGTGGGCAGTGCAGTGCTATGTAGGCCAACTCTGGAGAGACAGGTGGCTCTTCCAGAGTCTAGGGTCTTAGGATTTATCCTTTAGTCCTTGCCCTGTTCTCTCAAGGCCCCCGTCAGTGCTTTATTACCCCTCATTAATGTGCAGCAAATTTTCTTTGTGAAGGTTGCAATGACCTAGTCCCAGGGGTGGGTGCTGTTGGATGCTGACACAGTAGTTCCCTTAAGGAGTTATAATTGACTCTGGCTGGGAGGTTTTACATGCCAATTTCCATTTTTCCAGATGTCTGTTTAGATAAGGTAATCCCCAGTCCTGTCACCTATGCACTCTCTTTGATGTGTGTGTGATGTCCTCCCTGTAAGCTCCCTGCTTCACTGTCCCTCCCCAACCTCGTTTGTGCCAAGTGGCCAGCCAAGAGTCCACATGGGCTGTTGCAGACTAGTGGTGGTTTTCATTAACGTGTGTGAGTTACACACAGGACAGTGTGTTGTGTATGTCGTGCTACTGGATTATTTTTTTCTTATGAGAACTCTTCCTTGAGATCCATCAGTGTCCTTAGGGGAGCTTCTGTCTGTTGCCAAGGGTTTCTCTGGGGTGCCTCCACTGCCTGTGACCTTTCTGTCTCCCTGGGTGGACACCCAGGGCTTCTTCCAACTCCACCAGCACAAACAGCATGGATGGGTGGGGGTGGAGCCTCTGATACCTTCCCTGACCTCTGACCCCCTGCTCTTCCCCAGGGGCCATGCTGGTATCCCAGGCTTCCCTGGCCCCTGTGGCATCTACTGTTGGCTCCTTCCTGTCGGGGTTCTCTGCTGTCACCTCGGCTGCTGCTCCAATTGGAGGTAACTGGCTCTGAGTAACAGATACCACTTGTTGGGCTCCCAGTTCTGCATGGCGAAGGTCAGGGCCTGGAGCACACCGGCGTTCCTTTCGCCATCAGAAATGCAGTCGAATCCTCAGCTCATGGTGAAGAGATTCATAAGATTAAAATAACAAGATTGGTTAAATTTTATTAGTGTTTTTACATTTAGTTGCTAAGTCTAGCACTTGACATTTGCCAATTCATTTAATTCTTCTAACCACCCCAGAGAAGTTAATATTGTGCCTTATTTACCAAGGGACAACCATGGGCATTTGGTCCCACAATTATGCACAAAGACTGAGTCCTGAAACTGACAATGTGTTGATGGGGGTGGGGGCTGGGGAGCCTGCAAGCTGCAACTGCTTTGTTCTTGCCCGGCTCATGGGGCAGTGTGAGCTTAGATCTTAACTATGGCAGAACGTATTGAAAACAACCAACTGGCTTGCTAGTACTAAGAAAACATATTTCCCAGTGACAAAACAGGATGTTCTCATAAAATGCCAGGAAACATACTCCTAAAGGACTTATTTTTCTCTTTAATCAGGGTCATTATTAGTCTAGCATGAGGAGTTATGCTGTCCTTGGCTTTGGCTAATACACAGGAACTCCGCGTTAGGATTCTTCAGGGTTGCACTCTTCATGACTTCAGGAGACTGGGCCCCAACACTGGATGGACATTCGGGGCTTCTTCCAACTCCACCAGCACAAACAGCATGGATGGGGGATAGAGCTTCTGATACCTTCCCTGACCTCTGACCCTCTTCTCTTCCCCAGGGGCTGTCCTGGCCCCTGTGGCCTCTGCCGTTGGACCTCTGCTGGGGGCACTGAATGTGGGCTCTGTGGCTGCTGCCCCAATTGGAGGTAACTGGCTGAGTAACAGATGCTACTTGTTGGGCTCCCAGTGCAGCGCAGAGAGGGTGATGAGAAGGTCAGGGCCTGGAGCACACCAGCATTCCTTTCTGCGTCAGAAATGCAGACAGATTGTCAGCTCATGGTGAAGGGATTCGTAAGACTTAAATAACAAGATCAGTTAAATTAATTATTAAGTTTTTTTTGGCTTAGCACTTGATATTTGTCAATTCATTTAATTCTACTAACAGCCCCAGAGAAGTTAATACTGTGCCTTATTTACCAAGGAACATTTACCATTGTCCCTGTGCCCTGGGCAGGGAGGAAGGGTGGGAGGATGTTTTCAGAGCTTGGGACAGGAAGTAGAACAAAAGTTTGGAGATATTCCAACAGCAGAGGGTGGGGTGGGGTTTGGGAGGAACCCTCAGGCAGGCCAGGTTCCGCACACACCAGGGGAAAGGCCAGCCACCCACACCCGTGACCTCTGGTTGAGACCAGCAGGCAGGCCATGAGATGGACAGCCTTCCATGTAAGGAGCCCAGTGTGCCAAGCTGCCTGCTGGCTGGGCGTCACCTTCCCTGCCTGCCAATAAGTTGAGCAGCAAATGCCTTTCAACCTGGTTCCTGGGTCCAGAGGATGCCCCTGGTCACTCAGGGCTTGACCTTCACATGCCTGTTGCCCAAACCAGGGAGAACCAGGACCCTAAACCCCTGTTCCCAGATCCTCTTGACCAGGGTGGGTAAACACATTCAGGACAGGTCCTTGATCTCTGAACTAAGACTCCCCAGCAATCACACCTTCTGCAAAGTCCTGCTTCTCTGAGAAAAGCAGGGAGGGGCAGGCAGGGGCCATTCCTTCCTGGGCGGCAGCTCCCTACAGTGGGTCTTTGGCAGGAAGAGGGAGGCACGACGTGTGAGCCTCACAGCATGTTCTTTCCCTTCTAGTCAAGGCTGCTGCAGTCGTGACTGGTGGAGGTAAGCCTGCAGGAAGGGGGTTCCAGCCCCGCTTCCCCCAAACCCAGGGTGCAGTCAGAGATGCCAGGGCTCCTCAGCAGGGCCTGAGGCCTGGGCAACCCATAGCAGTCCCCTCTGGGAGTGCAGCCCCCTGTCCTGGTGGCCCCCAGTCCTTCCCCCACGTTCCCTGCCTCACTGCCCTGGGCTCATCACTGCTATCCTTGCCTGTGGTCTCTCCCAAGCTCAGAGCCCAGTTACAGACTCCGTGAGGCCTCGGGATGGGCCCAGGGAGCAGGGAGTCCTTCCCCTGGATCCACCCCCATGCAGCTCCTCTCCCCTACAGTCCTGACCGTGGGTGCCGTGCCCGTGGTTCTGGGTGCCATTGGCTTCACTGGGACAGGAATCGCTGCCTCCTCACTGGCGGCCAAGATGATGTCCATAGCTGCCATTGCCAACGGGGGCGGAGTCTCCGCGGGCAGCCTGGTGGCTACTCTGCAGTCAGTGGGTAGGTGTTCGGCAGGGCTTGCTGGGGAGGGGACGGAGGAACACAGGAGCCACCAAGGACCCAGCCCAGATCTCACCCGTGGCCCTCGGCCGCAGTCCTGCCTCACCCTCCTCTTCTCTCTCGGGTTTCTCTGAGGGTGGGGGGTGGGGGGACCCCTGGCTAGAGCTGCTGGCTTAGGGCCAGGTCACTTGGAGCATCTCCTCCCACTTGGGGCTCAGCCTTCCTCTACGCGGAGCAAGGCAGTTCCCGCGGATCCACCACTGGAGTCCCTCCTGGGCCACTGCCGGCAGCGCCTCTCCCCTAGACCAAGATGCTGGGGTTCAGGAAACAGAGGGTCTGCTGTGGGGTGCCCCGCCTCGGGCCCTCATGAGGAGCATCCCTGGCCCTGCACTTTTGTCCTTCAGAGCTGCCTTGGCCCTCCCCCCTCTGCTCGCCCTCTGCTTTTTCCCAGGAGCAGCTGGACTGTCCTTGTCGTCCAAAATGGCCCTGGGCTCTGCTGGGTCTGCCATTATGGCCCGCATAGTGGGTTTGTAATAGTTCCTGCTACTCCCATAGAGAAGAGGACCCCAGGAAGAGGTGGTACTGCCCCTCAGCCTGACCCGGGAGGGGCCAGTCCTGGAGGGTCAGCACCAAGGACATACATTTCTTGAGAATAAAGCTTGTTGTTGCAACCCACCCGAGCCTCGCCTCCTGCTTCCAAGATGGGTGGGAAGGGCCAGGCAGGGGCTCTCTCCCACCATGTGTGGGTGTGTGCTGAGCAGGAATGAAGTAAGTGTGAAGACAGGAGCTGTCCCCTGCCCTGCTACTGACAGTGTGTGTCACTCTGGGCGGTCACTCCTCCTGTGCCTCAGTTTGTCCTTCTCTAAATGGGGAGTTGAACCAAACGACCTCCCACATCCCAGCCTGGGTGGGTGTTTGGCTCGGGTTCTGCCAGGAGCCACTTCCCTCAAAGCCAGATCCTACTGTCCTTGCACTTGCCACCTCCTTGGTGTCTGGTGGCCATTTCCCTAGTAGCCTGGGCTGTTTTCCTTTTCCACACTCTTCCACCATGATGTTCTGCCTTACCTCAAGCCCCAAGGAACGGGGCTGGCCATCTATGGGCTGAGACTTCTGAAACTATGAGCCCTAAATAAACTTCTCCTCCTCTAAAATTGTTCTTGTCAGGTCTTTTGGGCATGGGGGTGGAAAAATCTGACTAGAACAGACATGCTCAGAGGGGGACAGAATCAACTCTCTGGGTGTGCAGCTTCAGGGAGTGGAAGGCTAGCTTTGCCCTGTGTCCTCTCCCTTGGGCTCTGTTGCGGGGCCAGTGAGCCTTCTACACCCAGGAGAGGACAGCAGCACGTCAAGGGAGGTCCACAGCAGGGCCACGGGGGTCTGGTCTCCAGGAGATAGATCACTACCCCGCTCCCAGACTTTGGAGGATGTGGTAGCAGAGAAAGCAACTTCTCTTGTGCAGTCCAGCAGGGTGTCTCTCAGTGCAAACAAACACATCCTGAAGAACACCAAGGAACCTTCTGACTCCGAGCAATAAGAGAATGAACCCAACAAAAAAAAAAATGGTTGCTTTGACCTTTCCTCCCTCTCAAAAGAGCACTAAAATACCTGTCAGGGATTAAAGAAGCCATGGCCTATAAGGAGAAAGAGAAGGAAAGAGGAGATGACAGTAACAAAATTTTAGGAGCCAGAAATGACCTGGACAAGGGGTCCTACTTAGCAGCACCATGAAAGCAGAATCTTAGTTGTTGGTAAAGACAGGAGAACTCGCCCCACAGGACCCCGCGCAGCTCAGCCACTGGAGTGGCCCAGGCCTCTGGAGTTGAGCACAAAGGTAGGCTGACAGCAAGAGGGCTGGTGGCCAGGCTGTTTAAGAAGCAGTCAGACCCCAAGGGTTCCTCCCCACAGATCACTGAGGCTGGTATCTTTGGAGAGGTTGGTCTCTGGACCAGAGAGTACCAGGCACCATGGAGAGCAGGAGCTTCATACTGAAAGGTGAAAGCTTCCAAATAAGTGTGAAGACCCTCACTCTTCATCAATGCTCCTGGGATGTGGGCAGCAAATTGGACTTTGTCCTGCCAGAAGCAGGACTCGGTCACCCTTGACACGATTTCCAGTCCTCCACCCACCGCATGTTCCTCTCGAGATGGTCCATCCAGGTCTTTGTCTTATATAACCGCCTCCTGGTGACCACCTCCCTACAGGGTGGCTGGACACACCTGCCTGGTCACCCCACTGGCCATCGTCCTTGTGTGGACTGCACAGAATTGCCACAGGGACCAACTCTCCGTCAGTGGGACCTCCCAGAACTCTCGCCTGCTCGTTCTAGCCCCCCCAGCTAGGACTCCCAGGGGAAACCTGCTTGGCAATGCCCTGGTCCCCAAAAAAGACACTGGCCCAAGGGGCTTTTGCCTCTTCCTCCCACCTACCGGCTGAGCGTACAGGTGCCGGGTGGCTCCCTGGTCCCATGGCCCTGTGAGGCATGCTGCCCTCTCCATCTGGACCTGTGAGCAACCGGCTGCTTCTGTCACTTGTGGGCTGTGTCGAGCTGCCTCCTCCATCTCACACCCGACCTCACCCCCAACTCTAACTCTCCTCCTGCCAGGGCTCTGCGGAAGAGGGGCCGTCTTGGAGTAAGTGACATGGTCAGACAGGAGCCACAAGGACATGTGCCAGCATGAACAAGTCTCCTGTAAAGGGGACACCTGGTCGTGGTTTGCATACTTAGACATATAGCTGTCCCCTTGGATAAAGAAGTATCCCATGAGCTGGGCATGGTGGCACATGCCTGTAATCCCAGTGCTTCCAGAGGCAGGAGGATGATGAGTTCAATGCCAGCCTCAGCAACTTAGCAAGGCCCTGTCTCTAAATACAATATTAGAAAAAGTGGCTCAGTGGTTAAGCATCCCTGGGTTCAATCCCCAGTACCAAAAAAGAAGTATCCCATGAAAAGTTCATAGTGAACACCACTGACCAACCCCTGGAGTTCCATCAGGGAAGGTCTAGAGTTTACAGCCACTCTCCAGAGAGCGAGAGCTCAAGACCTAATTAAAAGAGGCAGGACAACAATAGGAACAACAGCAGGGGCAGGCCTGCGAGGACTCTCCCAGGGAATCTCACCAGCTCTGGAAAACCAAGGCTCCCATGCTTACACCCAGTAAGGGGGTGGCCCTGTGACGGCTCAGACAGATCACAGAGCTGTCCCTGGACTGACAGAGCATCCTGTGGCAGAGCCTGATATCAACATTCCAGGAGGTTCCACAGAAAGGGAAGCAGTTGTGAGCCCCACCCCTCTGAAGCCCTCAGGGTCCCAACAGCAGACATTGCCTCTGCTGCTGTTGGAGCTGGCATCTTGCCATACGCTGAAAATGATCTTCTTGTGGGTGGATCCTCCTTGAAGAAAAGAAGGCCAGTAACATACCACGCCTGGAAATGCTCCTTTCTGTCCCAAGAACCCAGACAAGTTAAGGGAACAAGAAGAGCAGTCCTGGACGGGAATGTCTAGATAAATCTGTATCTTGAAGGACAGAGAGTCCTTTTGTCACATATATTGCAACAGGGCAAACCTCTCTGAGAACTGCTTTTTTGCATACATGCCAGGACAGCTGCTCTTCTGAATGCTGGTCCGAAGAGGATTTCAGGAACAGTTCAATGTTGTACTCAGTCCCATGCGATTGTGGGAGGCCCTGAGCAGTGGGAGGGATCTGTCTTAGACTGAGACCTGGGGACAAAGATTTGAGTGCAAGTTGTTTATTTGGGACGTGACCCCAGGAAGCACCAATTGGGGGAAAATGGAAGTGAGACAGGGACAGGAAGGTAGCCACAGAACGTCCACTAGTGGATGAGTGTGTACCGTGGGCAGCTGGGGCTCCATCCCACTGTGCACTCCTGGTTGTCCCATCCAAGGGGAGTTTATCCTCTAGCTCCCATCCATCATTGGTCCAGGGATATTCTTGAGGGGCCAACACCCCGACACTTGCAGCCTGCCTTGGGGCCTGCAGGGAGGGCCCTGGGGCAAGGAGTCAAGAGGGCTGGGTATAGAGAGCAGCAGCAGGACCGGAAGCACGTGGGCGCAGAAGTAGGTCAGGATGGAGGTCATCCAGTCTAGACCCACATCCCTCCAAGACCTGCATATCCCAGGCTGCCTGGATGTCCCCCTTCACTGACAGTCTTGTAGGTATTTGCCACCCACCATGTTGCCATGGAAACATCTAATTACTTATTTTCTCCTACACTCCCTCCTAGCAGCTGGGACCTGGTTCCCTGGCACACCTCACTCTCTGCCAGACTTCCATGTACCTTTAGATGACCACCCATTTGTCCTTCCTCCAGGAAGTCCCTCCAGCTGTCCCCCACAGGAAGAGATCCCTTTCTTCTCTGGACTCCCTGCTGTGACCAAAAACCATCTGTTATGTTTGGGAGACAAGGTGTCCCTCAATAGCTCATGTAATAGACAATAATGATTAGAAGAGCTGTGACCTAATCAGTGAATTAAGCCATTGGATGATTTAACCATTGGAATGAATTCCTGGATGCTAACTGTAGGCAGACAGGGCATGGCTGGAGGATGTACGTCACTGGGGGCGTGCCCTTGGGGAAATATGCGTTGTCCCTGGCTCATTGTGCTCCCCCACTCTCTCTCTGCTTTCTGACCACCATTAGCAGAGCAGCACCTCCCCCATGCCCTTCCACCGTGGTGTTCTACTTCATCTTGAGCCCAGAGCAATGGAGTCACCCGACCATACACTGCATCTCTGAAACCATAAACCTGAAACGAATGTTTCCTCTAAGTTGTTGCTGAAGGTATTTTGGTCATAATGACAAAAACCTGACTAACAGGCCATCACTGCACTGAACAGGTGTCCTGTGTCACACTCATTCATATGAGTGCCAGTTCCTCCTGATATCAGACTCCTTGGGTCAGTGTGGACCCCTCCTGTCCACTGCAGTATCTCTTGCGTGGACAACGACTGCAAGGTCTGGGTGAGGGCATGGTCAGGGTTCCAGAGTGTCATGCGTGAATTCCAGTCTCCTTTTCTATTTTCGGGATACTGAGGTTTCTGTTTTTGATTCAGTCTCCCTCGCCTGAGGTACCAGTGCCCAACTTTAACACTCAGCACACTGTATTTCCCTGGCAGTTTGCTTGTTGACCTCTGGACCAGGACTGAGGACAGGCCAGAAAAAGAGACTGTCTTGCTCTTCCTGGGTGTCTAGTGCCTTTCATGAGGAAGGGCTGAGGGCACTGGGGTCAGTGGTTCATTGTGTGTTCCAGCTATTATGGTCTGGATCTGAAATATTCCCCCAGAGGCATATGTATTGAAGGCTTGGTCCCCAGTGCTGCAAAGTTCAATGTTCTGGAGGAGTGACCAGATCGGGAGGGTTCTCACCTCATCAGTGGATTCATCCATTGATGGATTCCTAATTTGATGGCATATTAATGGGAGGTGGTGGAAACTCTAGGAGGCGGGGTGTCATTGAAGGGAGTGTGCCATCAGAGGGTGTGCACTGGGGGGCTATGTTATATCCCATCCCCTTCCCCTCTCACTCT